CAACGCTCCCAGTATGTTTGGTGCGCGCAACACTGTCAGTGGAATGATGCCCATGCGTCTTTTTGGCTGTCTTCTCTGACGAGCTTGTGGCTCATAAAACGCAGAGTGTGAAAGAGTTGTAGTAGCAAGTGAGCAGACTGTCGTCATGGCGGCGAAAGCGAAAGCCGTGGCCAAAGCAAAAGCAAAGCCGACTGAGGACACAAAAGCTTTCTTTAGTTGAGTTAAATGTTGCCTCTGCCTTTGGGTTTTGATGACAAACCGCGGACCCCACTTTGGTGTCAAGAAAATGGTTCTATTCCTGAAGCCGCAGTTTGTGGCCTCGCTAGTCCGGGAGATGTTGGGAATAGGTCGCGGACAAGTTAAGGCTTGTACGTGCAAAGGTCAACTGCCCTTGGCTGTTTGTCCAGTTTGTTTTTGGACAGGTTTGCAAGTCTAGGAGCCTCGCCGGTTGTAGTAGATGGCTCAAAGTATTTGATCAAGATGATACTGACGTGGACCTCTGTCTCTGAGGGGGCGCAGTTGTCGCATGTCTTCAGCGCAGTTGGCAGAGATACAGCACAGGATAGCGAACGTGTCAAGGCGCTTGCGAAGGATGCAAGAGCGGACACAGCGACGTGCCCGCGTCCTCCGACTTCAAACCCTGCTGGTGTACATCTATTCAGGACATCAGTCCGATGTGGCTGCCCGTTTCTGGGTTTCTCATACAGGAACCTCCTTGTCCTTGGGCGAGGCTGCCGCTCATGTCGAGTGGTTGTACATCAGTGCCAGTGTTGACGAGAAGGTGGAGATGATGCTCAATCCCCGGTGCAGTCTTGGCCTGCGTCCTCTCATGGTGGCCTTGCGGTTCATCGTGGAGCTGCAGCTTCTCTCTTGGGTCCAGTTCCAGAACTACGAGTGTGGAGTCGCTCCATCACGAAAGATGTTGCTTGATCATGCTCAGTCTTGTGTGCCCAAGGATCTGCCTCCATCCCTCACTGCCCGATTGCTCCGCCCTTTCAAAACTGCTCGCAGCCAGCGCAAGGCCTTGGCTGCTTTCAGAATGAAGCATCGGTGCAAACTTGGAAAATTGCGGTCGGAGGCTCCCATCCCACTAGCTGAGAAGCAGGACAAGGCAAGAGTCGGTCGGGCCGGAGACCGTGCGCGATGATTGGAGACTTCAAACAGCATGAAGTGTTGGGGTCGCTAAGCCCTTGCTGCGTTCTTGCCTCACTTCGCGGGTCTCATTTTGGGGTCAGGAAAACGGACGCCAAAAAGGTGTCCGCATTTTATGATCAGTGAGAGCGCGTAAGGACATTTTTATTTGTGGGGTGCATGGGCGGGCCAAAAAGGGACCCCAAAACGGGGGACGGAAAACGGACCTCAAAAGCGGGTACAGATTTGATGATTTTTTGGCTACTGCAGGCTCTGGCGTTCTACCAGTGGTGCAACTATTGGCAAGCGAACACAGAGCGCGAGCCCTTGCTCATCAACATGGATGAGTCAAGCCTTGCTTTTCATTGGAGCGGCTTAGCTGGAACAGTTGCGGAGGCAGCAGTGAGTGTGGCGACAGACAAGGCGAAGCTCAGCAGCCGAAGGGCGCGGGTGACGTACCTTTGTTGCATCACGCACGACAGCACAGTGCAACCGTTGCTCCCGCAAGTGTTGCTGGGCAATTCTCGGTCCTTCCCCTTAGAGTTTGTGAAGCAGGCTGCAGAAGTTGAACCGGGCATTACTGTTTGGCGGGAAAAATCCGCTTGGAACTCACACAGGTTGATGCGGAAGTTCCTCCGGTTGCTGTGTGCCCGTTTGGGCGACTTGTTGAAGACGCGCAGCGTGGGCTTATTGCTCGATTTCGCTCCGTGCCATGTGCATGATTCGATTTTTGAATTGGCCCGAAGCGCGGGGCTGCGCTTGTTGTTTGTCCCCCCTGGCATGACGCCACTCCTGCAGCCTTGTGACACCCACTGCTTTGCAGCCTTCAAAAATAACGCCCAAGAGAATTGGAGGGCGAAGAAGAGTGAAGCTGGTGGGCATCCAACTCTGTTGATGTGGTTCCAAGCTGTGGCAGCTGCAGTCCATGACCTTGTTCATAGAAGTTGGGCTCGGGCCTTTGAGAGTGATGGAATTCTGCAGCAACAGCGGAACATGTCAAGTCATTTGTTGAAGCAGCTACACTGGAGTACCGCGCCCCAGGTCCCGCCAGTGTGGCCCAGCGAGGAGGTGGCAACTCTACTCTTTCCGCGCAACTGGTGTGGGAATCGTGCGAAATATATCAGTGGAAACCCTGACGTGTGGTACATTCGTACTTTGAATTAGTTTCACCTCGGACCGCCGAAAAGCTGCAATTGTGCACAGGGGAGGCCATCCAGGGTGGCTCAGAAAAAGTGGGGTGGAAGTGTACCCGGCTTTGGGGGACGTCAAATTGCCAGGAGATGCTACAGGCCGACTTGCAGAAATTGAAGGAGGACAGAAAGAACTTGCGCAAAGCCATCCGCAACAACCAGAAGGAAGCCCGCAAGCAAGCCAAGCGCAAGCAAAGGTTGGTCAAGGCCGTGCTGACCGTTGTGTTTGTGTTTTTGCCGCCGGTCCTAGCTGCAGGCCGCCAAGATGTTGTCGAAGGCAGACCTGGAGCTGTTGATTCGGGCCAAACAGGTGGGTTCCATTTTACCAATGAGTGTGGTCACTTCTTTGCAAGCCAGGACCAAGAGGCGACGACAGAGGAGAGAACTTTTGAGGTGAAAGTCTGCCAGCTTTTAACGCACGGTCTTTTTGTTTCTTTCCCTGCAGTCGGTGACGTCAGGAGGCTGCAGCCCCACGCGGGATGTCCGGTCAACCAGTCCAGCCCTTGTCCTGTCAAAGTGCGATTGTCTTTGGACACTTTTTGTTTTTGAGGCGGAGAGGCCTTCTGAGTGAGGGTGACGCAATGTGTCAGGATGAGCCGAGGCAGATCTTACAGCGCAGTGCAGGGCACACCCTGCAGCTGCTTCCGTCAGCCCGTAGTCTTGACAATCTGAAAACTTCGGACACAACGAGAGCAGAAACAGCGCTGCACTTGGCGTTTTCTTGAAAAATTTGCTCTAAAAAACTTCCGATTCTAGACCGATGCAGCATGACAGAGAGCTAGAATGTCTGTGGACTTGAGGCGAATGCACTGGGGTTTAAGCCATTGTCATTAGCTACAGCCTGAGGTTCGATGCGTGGAGTGGTTGGCCTTGGAAGCGGTCGTCAGCTCAGTATTGTTGACGGGTGCTAGGCGCGGTTGGTGTTTGTTTGTGCCAAGCCGCAGCTTTTTCGACGGCAAGCAGGGTTATGTGACACGTGGGTTTATGTTCTTTGGACCGTAGTGTGGTTCTGCCCGGACCACTTGAAGGGCATGGCAGACGGGGCCAGACATGCAAGAAGGGATGCCATCCGTACTTTGACGCGGCTTGGCCGCAACCTGGCTTCGCCGCTCCGAGTAGACAGAGATTGTGGCAAGGAGACGCTGGAAGCTTTCCTGGCCCAGCTACTTCCTCACTTGGACTCACAACTAGAGCGGACGGAGGCTGAGGAGGCGATCAAGAAGTGGAACGAAAGCGCAGGTGTGTCACTGTTTGCGCCGCAGATTCCACCTTTGCCGCTTGTGGGTCACGATGGAGGTGATCCTCTTCCTGCCGCGCGACGGGTAAGCTGTTGCGACGTTATGTTGACCTTTAACAGCGACTTTGTCCCCCGCGGGACTGCTGTGGCGGATTGGTTCCAGGCGGGCGGAAAGGTGCTGCTGCAAGAGTTTTTGGTGACTCGGAAGTACATTATACACCCCTTTTGAGCTTTGTTTTGTCTTTGAGGGTGTGCGCAAGCTGTCGTCCAAGGAATGGGGCACCTCGGAATTCCCACAGCGCTTTGAGCAGCCAATAAAACACACCAGCTTGACTATGGAGGAATCTTTGGAAAGCCAGTTCCCCCGTGTACATTTGCACGCCCAGTTCACATTTGCGCGCAGAATCAACCGGCAGCTGCTAGTTATTGTCAAGCGCTTTTTGAAAAGAGGTTTCTGGAACCCCCGTGTTTCGTGGGTGATATTGAAAAGACCAACCCAAAACAGTGCTAGAGCGGTGTCTAAGGACCAGGGATTGCTTCAAGTTTCGTGGCGTTGTCCCGCACATAGAGACGAACCAAGCTCGGGGAAAAGACGTTGAGGCAGCCCGTGCAAGAGCGCATTTTTACGTAGTGTGCTAGGGCCTCAGTGGCCGCCGTTGTGAACTCACAGCTTGTGCTTGTTGCTTCAACCTTTCTTCCCATAGTGTTTAGGTCGAAAACGTGGTTCTCTCTGGTCCTTTACAGATTGGCACCCTTTCATTGATTACGCTGTGAATCCAGCGTGGGTCACTGGCTGGTGGTGTGTGCAGCGCCTCAGCTGCAAGAATAAGATGCTTGGCGGCCATGTGTGTGGCTTCTGTGGGAACCCCCAAAGCGCAGGAAATTCTCTCACCAGCAGTACGCGAGCTATTTGCTCCAATGTCGGCGGGCCTACAAGACCAATTTGCAAAATGCAGAGGCAGTGGAAAAGCGAGAGAAAGAACTTGCTGTGTGACTTGGATGGGCTCCGGTTCAGTTGCTTACTTTGTCTTGTGTTGCTTGGCCACGTGTTGTATGTCAATTGTGTGGTCGGCGGCTGTGAGGCGAGTCTACCAGAAAGACGTGGTCCAGAAGCTTATCGCTAACCGGGCGCCATTCCGTGCAACCTCAGACCCCATGTTCTCCAACCTGCCTGCCTTCCGCCGGCAATTTGAGTTTGCCTGTGAGTGCCTTGGGTGTAAGTTTGTGGGTACGTAACAAGAACTTGCCACAAAGTGAGTTTGGGAACTATGCTGTCTCTATAGTTTCCAGGCGCTACCAGCTGTATGCTCTCCAGGGGCCGTCTCAAAGCGCAAAGACGTCATTCATCAAGAGCTTGTACCGCAACCCGTTCGTCGTCACAGTCCAGGGCATCACTACATTGAACTTGTCCACTTTTGAATATGGCGTGCACGATGCGTTGTGCCTTGGTCGGACTGTACTAGTTGCGCGCGCTGTGGAGGTGCCGTAAGCTGGCTGCGCAGGCTGCGCGCATTCTAGTTCCAGCCAGTCGCGCGTCAACAGGTCGTGGGATACTAGCTATCTGGGCATATCATATTCCCCAGATAGGGTTCTTACTTCAAACAGCGATGAGCTGCCTTTGCGCGCTTTCGAGACAGGTTGCTCTCATTTCCCCTTCCAACAATCCTTTTTCCCGTAGTGCCACACTGAGGATCTTAGACAACATCAACGACTGGGCATTCATCCTAGAGCACCGCGCCTTGCTACAGGCTAACACAGACTTCCACAAGCTGGGTGAATCTCAAACCGGAGTCTTTTCGTACACCGTTTTTCTGTGGGCCACGCCCGTGGCTATAACCTTGGACTTGGATGTGGATTCCCAAAGCGCTTTTGAGTGCAGCGATTGGTTGCGGGCAAATGTCCTCCTGGATGTTCTGAAGCCAGGGGATAAAACGTTCCTCGAAGAGGGGCGGCCCAAGCTCCGGATGTCTGACATGCCCGAGTTGCAACTGGACATAGCTTTGTAAGAAGTGACAGGCTGGAAAAGTCGCAGCGCGTTGACGACGTTGCATTTGCAAGGCCTTGTGCTACAAGATGGTTTGAGAGAAGCGGCTCGTATTGAGGTTCTACCGGAATAGCTCTTCCAATTGTTTCCATAGGATTAAATAGAGCGTTAAGCGTCTTGATGGCCAAGGCCTTTCAGGTGATCGTCTGGGCCGGGAACCCACCCTTGGTAGCCTTGCATGCTTTTCGTGTCTATACTCTACCTTTACTCAGGCCTGGCTGGTGGTGATCATTTGGGCGTGGATCCTACTGAGTCTAATTCACTGAATTCACCGTTTCTTCACTTTGCTCAAGCTTTGCAGATGGTCATGTGGATCCAGCACTCTACGCAAACTCTGCAGATTCCTTTCTCTTGGCTGACCTTGCAAACAGTGTGTTACAGACATGCACAGTTTTTGCGAAGTGTGTTGTCGTCCTGTGACGTGGACGTAGCCGATTTGAAACAGTCATTGTACATCCATCAGTCCGACGCCGCTGCATGAAATCTACAACTCGGAATCATCCGTACGTCGGAACCAGTCATTTAGAAGTAAGTGGCTTGGAATCCGTAGCTCGGAACCCGCAACTGGGCAACTTGGAATCTGTAGCCCCGAGCCCTTCACTCAGAAACCATAATCGGGAATTGGGAATCCGTACTTATTACTGTCTCAGGTCTGGCAGGCTTAGGGTGGACAGTGGCCATTCTCAGGGTGATTAGAACCTGAGACCATTTTTGGCTCAAGTGTACTTGGACTACGTCATGTTCTTCTCGGGGCAGCAACGCTTTGGACAAAGCGCGTGGTAGAATCCTCCAAAGGGAACGGGACTTGGAGCCCTTCTAGAGGCGCGCGACGTGCGGCCATGTGGAGGCGCACGACCTGCCTGTATAGTATTATAAACCCCAAAGTGTCGATGATTGGGCTGACCCATTTTTTACAATGTTTTTGTTGGGCTTGGAGTGGGCTTGGGTTGGGCCAGTGTTGGGCTAGCCCATTTTTACTAGTGTTTTGGCTGGGCTTGGGTTGGGCTAGCCCATTTTTAGCAGCGTTTCCATTGGGCCAGTGTTGGGCTAGCCCATGTTTACCAGTGTTTTGGCTGGGCTTGGGTTGGGCTATTGTTGGGCTGGCCCATTTTTACCAATGTTTTTGGCTAGAGTCGGGTTGGACTGGCCTTGGGCCCGTTTTTAGCAGTGTTTTGGCTGGACTTGGGTCCGGCTAGCGTTGGGCTAGCTCATTTTTGGCAATGGGCTTGGGTTGGGCCAGCTCATTTTTAGCAATGTTTTGGTTGGGCTTCCATATCTTCCAGTCGCCGGCAACCCTGCGAGGGCGTCTATATCGGAGGTCGAAGCAAACCGAAAAAGAATTTGAATTCAATGCCTTTCTGGGTGGCTGGTGTTGCGCCAGCCCATTTTTGCCAGGGTCGCGTCAGGAGCAGCCTATAGCTGAGCTGCCACCTCATCTTTTGTGTGGGCAGGGTTGTGGATGGACGCAGCCCTTTGGTAGAGACAGTGTCGCTCCACGGTTGCGTGCGGTTGCGGATGCTTGCGGACGCTTGCGGACGGTTGCGGACGGTTGGGAACGCTGAGACCACGGGTCGCGAACAAGGCTCTATACCCCAGACCCCCAGAGTCAAACGAGAACCCTTTGCGACGCATTCGGGAAAAACAAAAAAGAACACAACGCTCCCAGTATGTTTGGTGCGCGCAACACTGTCAGTGGAATGATGCCCATGCGTCTTTTTGGCTGTCTTCTCTGACGAGCTTGTGGCTCATAAAACGCAGAGTGTGAAAGAGTTGTAGTAGCAAGTGAGCAGACTGTCGTCATGGCGGCGAAAGCGAAAGCCGTGGCCAAAGCAAAAGCAAAGCCGACTGAGGACACAAAAGCTTTCTTTAGTTGAGTTAAATGTTGCCTCTGCCTTTGGGTTTTGATGACAAACCGCGGACCCCACTTTGGTGTCAAGAAAATGGTTCTATTCCTGAAGCCGCAGTTTGTGGCCTCGCTAGTCCGGGAGATGTTGGGAATAGGTCGCGGACAAGTTAAGGCTTGTACGTGCAAAGGTCAACTGCCCTTGGCTGTTTGTCCAGTTTGTTTTTGGACAGGTTTGCAAGTCTAGGAGCCTCGCCGGTTGTAGTAGATGGCTCAAAGTATTTGATCAAGATGATACTGACGTGGACCTCTGTCTCTGAGGGGGCGCAGTTGTCGCATGTCTTCAGCGCAGTTGGCAGAGATACAGCACAGGATAGCGAACGTGTCAAGGCGCTTGCGAAGGATGCAAGAGCGGACACAGCGACGTGCCCGCGTCCTCCGACTTCAAACCCTGCTGGTGTACATCTATTCAGGACATCAGTCCGATGTGGCTGCCCGTTTCTGGGTTTCTCATACAGGAACCTCCTTGTCCTTGGGCGAGGCTGCCGCTCATGTCGAGTGGTTGTACATCAGTGCCAGTGTTGACGAGAAGGTGGAGATGATGCTCAATCCCCGGTGCAGTCTTGGCCTGCGTCCTCTCATGGTGGCCTTGCGGTTCATCGTGGAGCTGCAGCTTCTCTCTTGGGTCCAGTTCCAGAACTACGAGTGTGGAGTCGCTCCATCACGAAAGATGTTGCTTGATCATGCTCAGTCTTGTGTGCCCAAGGATCTGCCTCCATCCCTCACTGCCCGATTGCTCCGCCCTTTCAAAACTGCTCGCAGCCAGCGCAAGGCCTTGGCTGCTTTCAGAATGAAGCATCGG